GCATAACTTGTGGCTTGTGGTTGGATCCTAACAGCTTTTGGCAGTGGACTGAGCCAAGGGTTGGAAGTTACCTCCATGATAAGTGAACTAGCAGGTAGCTTCACAGTCGTAGCCTCAGTAAAATCATTTCCTCAATATTCCAGTGGGGGTGGTTTATCTGTACGGGGAGCAGCTTCATTAAGGACAATGGTCTAGGAATCCAGTGATAGCTGCTCCCCTTGAACAGATGCACTAATCTAAGAACCAGTGAGAGGAGCCCAAGCTAGTGGTGAACAAAAGTAATTAAGCAGGTGAGTCATTGATCTTACATGACGTGGAGGTCAGGGTAGAATTCTGAAGCTCATACAGAGTTGCCAGGCTGTACGGAGCAATCCAACATGATCCACTAATTTGCTGTCAGAAAAAGAAGGAAAATCATCTCTGTGAGCAGGGTATTTATATTACTGGTTGTGACACACATCATAATGTTGTGACTTTAGTACTGTAAGATCTCAACCCATGCTCTACTGTGCTTTGCACTATAGTCATTAGTCTATGTATTAGTCATGTGGCCTTTATTTTTTCTCATCTCTTATACATAATTATTTGGTAGTCATATCCTAATCTTTTTGCACTCCTAAAATATACATTAAATAATTATCAGTAAATCTAAGCAAGTCTTTGGCTGTCTAGAAGACATTTCAATAGGTTTCTTTATCCATCTACCATAAAAGATACAATATATGGCCAAAAGTATGTGGACACCTCACCACCACATCTGTATGAGCTTGTTGGGCAGCCTATTCTAAAACCATGAGCATTAATATAGAGTTAGCCCTCTTGTACGTCTTTAACAGCCTTTCTACAAGATTTTGGAGTGTGTGGTTGAGAATTTTTGCAGATTTATTCAAAAGAGCATTTGTGAACTCAGGTACTGATATTGGACCAGAAGGCCTGGCTTGCAATTTATCGCAAAGATGTTCAGTGGGGCAAAGGTCAGGGCTCTGTGCAGGCCACTGGAGCTCCTCCACATCAAACTCACCAAACAGGGATACAATCATCCTGGAAAAGGAAAGGACCTTCCCCAAACTATTGCAAGAAAGTTGGAAGCATATTAATTGCCCAAAGTGTCTTTGTATGCTGTAGCATTAACGTCACCCTATGCTGGAGCTAAGGGCTTAGCCCAAACCTTGACAGAGAGCCCCAGACCATTATCCTTCCTCCACCAAACTTTTTACTATTGGCAAGATGCATTCCAGTAAGTAGTGTTCTCCTGGTATCCGCTAAACCCAAATAACGTCCATTAGACTGCCAGAAAGTGAAGCATGATTCATCACTCCTGAGAATACATTTCCACTACTCCAGAGTCAAGTGGCAGTCCAGCTCATGTTTGGCATTTCACATAGTGATCTTAGACTTGTGTGCAGCTGCTCAGCCATGGAAATGCATTTCATGACGCTCCTGACACACAGTTCTTGTGCTGATGTTGCTTACAGAGGCAGTTTGAAACTCTTCAGTGAGTGATGCAACAGAGGATAGCCAATTTTTATATGCCACATGCCTCAGCACTTGGTGACCCTGCTCTGTGAGTTTGCGTGGTCTGCCACTTTGTGGCTGAGCTGTTGTTGCTCCTAGATGCTTCCATTTCACAATAGTAACACTTACAGTTGACCAGGGGAGATCTAGCCAAGCAGAAAATTAACAAACTCACTTGTGGAAAAGGCATCCTATGACAGTGTCACATTCTCAATGAGCTCTTCAGTACGACTCATTCTAATGCCAGTGTTTGTCTATGAAGACTCCATGGCTATGTGCTTGATGTTATACACCTGTTAGCAATGGGTGTGATGGAAACACTTAAACTTAATAATTAGGAGGGATGTCCACATACTTTTGGCCATATAGTGTATTATGGAGCAAAATATACTAAAAGTGAAAGAATGAGAATGTTATGTTTCTAAGATAATAGCATTCTTCAGAAAAACAGTTGCAAGTTAGACTAAATTTATGAACGTCATAAACATCAGTTATCGATTTGGTTGGAGTGATATAACATTTACCATCTAAAATTATTTTTTTATTTTAAAAATTAAAAATTAACTTTTTTATACAACTGAGTCTTAGGTTTGTTGTGTATGTAGTTTACAGATGACTCAAGTGATCATTGTTATAAAGTGTTACCTTTAAGTTTTATTTGCATGTGTTTGTTCTTGGGTGAATACATCATCTTGGCAGAACATAAATGCTAGTTGCCATGACTGTTCCGCCTGTTCCTCTGGCATATTATGTCATGGTACTCATAACATTCCTCCTCCCCTCCACCTCCCCTTCTCCCTTGTTTCTTGTCTGACTCGCCTGAAAAAAGTTCCCATGATGCACGGTGCCACCACTTCCACTGTTTCGTCGGCTACGACCCCAGTCACCAATGTTCCTTTTGCCGAATCAGCTGCCTCCAATCAGGTTTGCCCCTTCATTTTGGCCTCTTCTCTTTTCAGCTGTAGGGCATCCAGCTCTGGTCCACAGACACTATGCTCAGTACCTTTTGAAAGATATCTTACAGAACACTTTAAAAGACTTATATTGCACTCGTATTTATTAGATAATGATCCTGATAACATTGGACAGAACAGCAGAGGGAAGACAATCTCCATTTATTTATTTGTCCTGTGTATATGCAGGCAAAGAGCTGTTGAGATCACTTTTACAAGGGAGCTCTGGCCCTAGGCAACCCACCTGAGCTAGCTGTTTGTACTAGTTAATCCCGTCTGAATTTGAACTCTCTGTGGACCAGAGAGGAGCCTCTGTGTAGCCCAGTGTCACCCTGTCTGTGTGTGTATTCACCTCTATTGTGTCTATTCAGATGTCTCCACTGTATGTTGGTCCTGTGCACAGCTACATGCTTTATGTAGTTAAAACATCATAGTATTCATAGTCATTCTTTCCCTTCCTTCTTAGTTTTTTAAAAGCAAACTTTGTCATTGTTCCAATGATTTTAGACATGGGCACTTTTTAGTTTCACTCTTTTTTGTTTAAGACACGTCCCATGAGAGTAGGCAAAAAAAAATGTTTCTTTTTTGCAGAGGCGCTCCCTCCGGCGAGGATTCAGGTTTGAGTCCCAGCTGTGCAATTTGCTGTCCATAGCGGGGTTATCCCTAAGGATGCAATCGGTTGTGTTCTCATTGAGAGGGAAACACTTGAGGGTTTTTCCTGCATCATTGTGGGGCCTGGCACCAGCCTAGCATGCTTCCACGCAGCTGCACTGCAGAACTGAACTCTCGACCATCTCCAAGTAAATTGGAGTGCTAGCTGTTGTGCTGCGTAGTCAGAAGTTCTAAAGAAGGGTCTCCCAAGAGGCACAACTGTCTAAATGTTGGCCCTATCATAGGAAGATTGTGTAGCCTTTCTGCGCGGGTAGGATGACCCTCTATCACTTAGTCCGAAGCTAGCCAGCATCTTTTAGCTGTCATAACAGAATTGGCAGTCAGTGTATTTCTCTAAGCCTGTTGTGATGTTGAGTGATGTTGTATTAGTGGCAGTTTGAAAAGTTGGGGTGACTGGCTTCACATGACTTAGAGGAAGCATACCTTCACCGTCTTAGCTTGGTAGCATCATGTTACAAGCAAGATCTAGCCAGCAGGTGGAATTGGATATGCCTAAATGACTAAATTAGGGAGAAAAAAGAACTTCGGAACAATTTGAAAATGTCCACATTCCTCTCCAAGGTTGTGTTCTTGTGGTCTTGCTCTCATTGAAAAATTGCAATAATTTAAACAAGTGCCAATATTATTACAGTTATCAGTCATTCATTCTTTTTTGTGCTACATAATTTTTATTTTTTATTGCTTCGTCTTTTTTTTAATCATTCCGTTTATACAACCATTCTAATCTATAGTTTGTTCCAAAATGTATTCAATAGGAAAAGACTACACTTAATAATAGGCTATATAAACATAACATCACCAACCAATGAACTATGCATACAGACTTTGAATGCCACTTGGAAAGCTTATTTTCAGTCTGGCAAAGAATGCTTAGGAACTTGCAAATGAAACAAAGAAAGAGATCCATTGAGAGTAAAATGGATAAGCTTGTCCAGAAGAAGGGTGCCAGCTTGTTAATTTTTCCAGGCAGTTGATTTAACAGACCCTCTCCTCCACAACAGACCAGATCCAGTTAGCATACTGAGCTGGATGATGTATCCTGAGATATGCTCGCAAATTGGAAGTATTAGCGCCCTTGCTATTAATCTGTTTTCTACACAGACAGCATGTAACACTGTTAACATCCAGAGACTCTGTGTTTTCATTTGATTGGAAAGCCACATCATAAAGTATTAAGTGTGTGTGGTATTTGTTTTCAAATTAGGGAAAAATAAGGTATACGGTAAGGCTCTATGTCGCTCACATGTGGTACTTTGTAACTGAATTTGGATACCGATACCATTTATCATGATAACTCTGCAGATAGTTATCATTCTAAACTTACATTGTTGTGCAAGACACCTATATTACATCTGAGAATTACCTAAGAATTAGCTACAATAAAGTGAAAAAAGGAGAAAAATATATTCCCCAAACTTCCAGTCTACAGTTTTTTTACAGTACAGTTTTCAAAGGGCTTTGTTAATCTAATCACAATTCTGAGTGCCTGAACGTTGCTGTGGAATGCAGAGGAGACAGCATTAATTTCCTGTCTTTTTTTCTTCTTTGGTCATGTAATATTTCAGAAGTCACAAAATGTATCTTGTATTGTAAGTCTCCGTCTTCTCTCTCAAGATCAGTGATGTATTACACCAGGATGTTGCAGCTTTCTCCCATTTTTCCTGTTGTTGGATACAACAGATACCGTTGTTCCTTGATAAGAACATTTCGATTACAGTTTTTATGCAAAACTGGCTTTGCCTGCAACATTTGTTTGCTTTTGCATTTCTTGTTATACCTGTCCTAAAACAAGTTCACATCTCAACCCTCTTCTGTCTTTTTTCTTTTCCTCTTTGTATCTCGTTTGTCCTTGTCTTCCAGTAGACCCCGCCGAGGTACTGACCACTGACCCTGTCGACCTCCACTGCATTCCTGTGGAATCCCAGTTCTGTCCAGTACCCAAACTTCTGGTGGCAGCCCCCATGACTCTGAACTCAGTAAGCCTCGCCCACAACCTCGGTTAAGACACCACCACCATCACCATCCTAACAGTCCCACCATACCACAGAGACGTGAATGCAACAAATGTGTGCCTAATCAGTACGCCCTCCCAGGGCAAACCCTTTCATCCTCACAGTTGACATGGACATGTCATGGGAAAAAAAAGTCAACAAAAGGTTTGTTGATGCTAAAACAGGCAATACTTAAGCTTGGACCTACAACTGTTTTAGGAAGCATGCCATCTCGATGCAAGGAGACTTAAGGAGCGTGTGGATCCTGAATCTGAGCGCTCTTTGAATTCACAGCCATACAAGTTACACACAGATTTGTAGAGACACATGCACACACACATGCACGCACACACACACACACACACACACACACTGTTGAGAACAGTGCATCCTCCTGAAGTGACAGTGAGGTCTCAGACCCTGCTTAATCGATCCACCGTGAGTAAGTGGAACTGAGGCACATCACCTGACAGCACACATGACTCTGCAGGCACTTTAACAGCTTGCATGGAGAACACAAGAATGTGATTGCTGTGCGTGTCTATGCACAAGGCTTACTGCAGAGAGAGGAGTATATGTGAGCTCAGATCGCTCTTGATATTTTTAGATAGCGCTGGTGGTTCTTTTATTTTGTTTTATTTCAATTTCCGAAAAATTCATGTGTTTTTTGTTTTACGCTCGTAAATATATTGTTAATGGAGAAATGTTCATATCACTGTAAGATCAGCTGATTAGTTAAAAGGTCGTCATTGTTTGTGCCTTTCACGTTACGAGTGTGTGAAAGTCTTTTCCTGATACTTAAGCAACCGGTCTAGATCTCATGGTAGACTTAAAAGAAAATAAGCATACACTTGTAGCCTTTAAGAGTCAGCGTGCTATTCCTCAGTCTATCAACAAATCCACCTTTCCTGTCTTTAGGGATTGTCGTTTGTTGTCTGTCGTTGATGTGGTGGAGTATTATTTATTTAATGTATGCCTGATGAGCTAAAATTGTTTTTCTGAAGCGTTATTTTCCATGCTTGGACATAGGGGTGGGCAATATGACAAAAATACAGTTTTAAAATGTTTTTTGTGATATTTAGTTTGTCTGAGCTTTGATTAATTGCAGCAATCCGAATGCACCAATAGTGCCACATTTAAAAAATACTATCAAAATCTATGAATACAATTATTTTTATTCAGTGTTTCACTCACTGAACTGCACTATACAGTCCTAATTGTACTCTCTTTGTGATGAAACATGCAATTGGGTAGTGTTCTTAAAATACAGCGTATCATTGCTGTCCCAAAAAAAAGACTCTTTTTCAGATTTTTATTTTTCTACTTCATGGGAGCAAAGCAGCAGTCCTTTACATTGTGTGATGCTTTCATGATGAATAGACCAATAGAAATGACCCAAAATTACATGGAATAAAATATCTTTACATTAACTTACATTAGAAGTCAAGTTAGCATTCTCCTGTAAAGTTACCATTTGTATACTTTTTTTTGGACAGCAACAATAATATGGCATAATTTACCATGACATGATAAAATATTGTCATATTGCCCACTCCTACTTGGACATACCCCAGCTTTCGTCTGAACCACGCGTTCAGTGGAATCAGAGGGGCCGTGGCTAGGTAGATTCACATGCTCATACCTCCATTTTCTAAATGCAAAATGCCTTAAGCAGAAGCGAGAGCGTACCAGCACGTCGTATTTGTATTGTGCAGTGCAGTCTGCAGGGTCTGATTGCAGCCCTATTGCTGGTGCTGCATAGGAGGTCTGATAGATGACTATAGCTCAGGATGAGTCTGATCAACATGCTGTGAAACGGAGTGCCAGCGCAGCAGCTGCGGTCGTCGATTGGAGTAGCGCCATTTCTAATCCCAACTGTTCCTCTCTAGTCAGCCATGTCGCAGCACGTCGCTCATCTCTCTAAACCTACTGCTTATTTTCTGTAATTTGCATATATAAACGATCAGTAAGGTTGACTTGGTTTATCAGAAACATTGTGATATGATAGCTAGAGTCTGCAACCATATCTGTCCCTGTTGTTTCTCATTGCACGTACGATCCCTGCCAAAATCCAAGCCCCTACCCTCCTACTGTGTGACAGTCTGTTTGTCTCTGCTTATTGCTTGGCCCTGTTTGCTACATCTCACAGTAACATGATATCTTGGAACTGGCCATACTGTAGATAATTCTCAGCATGATAGCAGCCAAAATGCATCTTATGGAGCTTTATAGAATCTGCTCTCTCTTTGGACAGGTTGCGCATGTCTAAAAACTAGAGATGGCACTTGTTTTCTGATATCAATACCGATATCAATATTGAAACCTTCAGTATCAGCCGATACCAGTCTGATGTTTTTCCTTTAAGCTTTAAAATTAGTTATTTTTAACTGAAGCTATTAACTTGAAGAGGAATTACACTGATTTGAATAATTGAGAAATTTACTGACGTGTATTTTCTTTACAGTGGTGGTGATAGGAACCAGGGGTCTCAATGTCTACAACACAAATGTAGCTATTTTATTTACTATCAAACATGATCAATGAACCTACACATATCTTCTCAGTTTTAGTAGTAATAATTGTAGTGGTAGATAGTAGTAGTAGTAGATAGTAGTAAATCAGTGGAAATAGTGAACAATAAATTTTGTCTTACAGCACCCTATATGTATCTTTTATCAAGAATATAAAAAGGCCAGAAAATCATCACAAACTGTCATAAAACAATGTTTCAGGCATCAAGCAGCATCTTCATCACCATTTCATGTAATAACTTTCTGTGAGGGAGCTTTAAAGGGGCATTAAACTCATCAGATGTCTGGTTCCTGTCACCACCACTATGAACAATCCTGATCTGGCATATTACTCCAGAATGGCGCTTTTCACATCAAAATCTCGCAATGACTTTATTACACAACTAAATTGCACAGAAATTTTGAAACATTTATGGAATTCTCTTTTAAGATGAGCATCTAAATGGAGGCTATCATGCTCAAACTACTCAAACATTCTACTAAACCAGAGGAGGAAATACACAGCTAACAATGTCACATCACACAATGTGAGCATGTGTTGTATCAGACTAGATTTGTTACACAATCAAATTCATCCTGTTTTTTACCTCTGATGTCTAAAATTCAGCATTTGCTGTTCATATTGGCCCAATACCAATCAATTAAACTCAAGTTGCCAATTAAAAAGAAAACTAGTACTGGACACTAATGTCCAGACTTAAACTGTAATCCTGTTGTCCTCTTAGGATGCTGAAGGCTGCACACATTTCATGTGCCAATGACTTCCAGACCTGGGTCATCTGTGCCAATCACTGGAAGGAGCATAAAAGAGCAAAACCCTATATGCTAAGGCCAGAAGCAGACTGATTTGATTAAAAATGTTACTTCCCCTATGACTAATGCAATCATTCATGTTACACATATTGGTGTTCCCTCTATCTACTCTGTGGGCATTTGCAAAGTGCAAAGACTGTCCAGGGCCGGAAGACATTTTAAGCCATTTTATGTTGCGTTAGCATTATCGGATTGCTTACAAATGATGAACATAGTGAAGTGGAGTATAAAAGGCCAACCGAGTCTTGCTAAGTTTGGAGTAATTGTGGAAAGCATGTTCACCCCCCTGATTGTTTAACCTCCAGATTGCTTATTAATGCTACCTGGATGTCAGAGTTAACTCGCTTCGTGTTTTGCTCATGAAAATTTGCGACTGTTTGATAGTTTCAAAGATTCTGATCACATACTGTGTCCTTATTTTTAAAAGTCGACAGGCTCTGAACGTCTTGAGTTCAGTTGACTGTCAGCCATTTGAGCAGTTTATTGATATTTGCAAGTAGTGCTAGAAGCAGCGATTCTAACAGAGAAATATAACATCAGAAAGTAGAGAATTCTGAAGCTGGTGGATCAGCCATAGCTGGGGTGCTGAAGAAGGACCTCACTTATAAACGTTGCCATGAAAGGGCCTTATATACATTTGAATGTGACCATTTAGGACAAGGAGAATGTCATTAAAGTCTGAGGATGCCTGTCTCACCCTTTTCTTCTCCTGAATCCAACCACATGTTTCAACATATCAAGGGAGTTCAAAACCTCTCTATGCCATCCACTGTTAATTTACTGTACAAACAAGAGTCAAAGGAAACTCGAGAGTTACGGAGACTCATCAAGGACCTTTCTAGTTGTTGCTGTCCTTACATGGGAAAAAAAAAAGCAGCCGTGCTGTTTGGTTTGTAAAGACAGTATAGCCACACAGAGTGGTGATTTTAGATGGACAAACACTGCATCTGTTAAGAGGTGAAAATCTCCCTGGAAAGCATGTGTTGTGCTCTGTTTAGAGTAGACTGTCACTGTCTCCAGGCCAAACTTTAAGGGCACATTTTCTAGGCGTAGATTAAGGCTCATTCAAGACTAAAACTGATTGTCAGTTTAATAGGGCTGGCCCGAATAATTCAAATAAATATTATTTTTAAATGGAACAGTTATTGAAAAAAAACATAATAAATTGTATTTAAAATTTGTGGTGGTTGATGTGGTTTATGTGGTTTAGTTGAATGCATCATAAATTTATAGACATAACTCTTGAAAGCTGTATTTGAACAAGAGGGCTAAAATCGAAAATTCTATCATAGCAGCATGGCTCTATCAGCTGACTATTACATTAAGTGAGTTGTACATTGTTGACTATTAATACATCGTTGTTGCCTATTATTGTCTTTAAGGGTGAATAATTGTTCGGAAATTGCAACAAGTATTCAAAACCTGTAAAATGTTATTTGGGCCAGCCTTACAATTTAAATAAGCATCCTCATTGACAGTTTAACTTAGTCTTAAGGCTCAATCTCTCTTTGGAAAACCAGCCCGAAGTATGTTATGCTTTACCACAGTGATATAATAAGCATGGAGCACTTAAAGTCAATAGAGTAAACTGAGGTCAAATGCAAAATCACAGCAAGACAATATACTGTGTTATTGAAATACTAAATATCTGTGTTGTATACATTTTATAAAATGTTAATGTGTGTTTGGGGAAGTGGGTGTGTGTAAATGTTGGCAGTTGTTTAGGAGAGTACTCAGCTGTTGATTTGTGTAATGGAATATTTCTTGTAGTTGAATGAGTCTCATTGCCTAGCCAAGGTATAGATCCCTCTCTCTCTCTCTCTCTCTCTCTCTCTCTCTCTCTCTCTTTCTCTCTCTCTCTCTCTCTCTCTCTCTCTCTCTCATATCAAGAGTTATGCCTTCTCCAACTGCTATCCAGCTGGAATCAACAAAATACTTGATTAAGAAAACAAAAAAATATGCCTCGTTTGGGGCTTTAGCATTTTAAGAACACTCACTTTTTAAGAAGTGCGTATTCATGTATAATGTAGTTAGATGATAATCTTACTTGTACATATTACTAGTGCATCGTCATTCTAGTTTTATCACCATCCTAGTTTTTATCACTTGACCTTAATGTCATTTTTAATGGTACTTATATTTTAGCTGTTTCTTCACAAATGACGTCATGTTTTGGTGAGGATGAACTGTTGGTTTTTAGTTTGTCTGATCATTAATGAGTTCATATCAGTTACTTGTTCTACAGCATAAAATCTCATCGCATGAAATGAAAAATAATCTGAATAATCTGATTCATAGTTTGTGCAGTTAGTGGTTTAAGATAAACAAAATACATAAAGAAATATCTATCTATCTCTCTCTATATATATCTATATTAATCTACACATTTATATGTATTACAATGATAGATTCATTGTTACTTGATAGTAAGTTGTTTGTTGCTATGGCAACAAAACTACAACATGGCTACCTTTGTGAATCTTAATTGTGAATTTTTTCACACTTAAATTGAAATAATGTACAAGGTTAACTTATTCTGAAAGGGAATGTGTAGTTATCTTATCTTGGATTAAGAGATGATTGCCTATTTTGTACAAAAAAATGAGAAAAAACATTAAAAGGTGAGATACCTTGAGTCCAAAGGCCATTTGGAGACATCATATGTTATTTCTGTTGTTATGATTTCTTATTTTTCTAATGGGGGTTGTTGTTGTTGTTCTGCTTGATGAAAAAAGAAACTAAGGCAGATTTTGAGCTTTAGGCTTTAGGACGGATCTGTCAGATCATTAGGTGAAGAGGAACCTTCGATTTGATACTGGAAAGAAATATCCTAGTGCAAAGCGAACTCACAGAAAGGGCTGTCTGGACTGGTAGATTCCACAAAGGATCTTTTATGGAAGACTCATTTTGATTATCTGTGCGTAAGTCTTTAATTCGATGATGTCAAGAGCAGAGCATGCTATAGGGCATGGTGAGCTATACCTGACCCCCTCTTGGTAAAGTCTCATTTCTCCCCCCCACTGGTCTACCCAGACTGTAGCCCAGCTGTGCTGGGACCTTCTAAATCCTGCTGTTCCCCCATCAGTGTACGAATGTGTGTTCTTCACCTTGTTTGCACTTATGTACATAACTGAGTCAAAATATTCAGAATTTATTTTGAATATACATAGAAGAATGAATATATAGAAATATATATATATTAAAGAACTGGTTCAAATCAGATGACTGTATTGTTCGGAATACAGGTAAACAGCTATCCTTCTGATAGGTTGTCAGAGAAATGCTGTTTTTGAGGGATTTGTCGTATGTTCTGTTTGCTAATGCCCTTGTTCTCACCATGAGCATGATACTGCTTGCCGATAAAATGGGGAAAAAAGTTTGTCGAAAGATGCTTTGTAGTTTGTCATAGTTTACAGAAGCTTACAATACTGAGCACTGTGGCTGTCTATATCTGATCCTGAAGAACTGGTAGTGTTTGAACAACCACTAAAATGTATGCAGGTAATATATTGCTGTATCTAGAAACCAAAGAAAGAATACCCTGCTTCTGTCTTTCTTTTTTTCTTTGCAGACTGTGAACTGCTCGTTTGATTTCACATGTTCCACCCTGCTTATTGGCATATAATGGGCTATATTCAAATTTTGTAGGTGAATCTAAGAGCTGAACATGAAATTAAGATTCAAAATGGATCTGCTTGGGATTTGCCTCCTGTGAAACATGCTCTGGTGGTGCTCTGCCCCCTGCGGGTGGCAGAGAGCATAGGAGAGGCTGTGACGATGGCCGACCGTCTGCTAAATCTTGGACACGCCAGCAACTTCAGGGTCAGATTATAGTAAGAAAGCATTGCAGCCGGTTTCGCAAAAAGTTTTGGTTACACTTTGTTGGATTTGGTTTTGTTTTTTCCAAATTGCTCACGCATTCCCCATAAAATGACAGTAATCTGAAATATCTCACTTGCATTTCCTCAAACAAAATCAAGGTGTTTCACAGTCAAGCAGTGACTCGCCGGACAAAAGCCGCTGTCTGAGAAATCTTGTACATTCTGTGCTCTACAATTGCTTTGGAAGCCAATAATTTTGTTGCCATGGCACTTGTCCTAGTAGTGAGGGAGAGACAGAGTCTTTGTAGGTTACTACATATCGACGCACCTTTGGGCCACCTTAGGATGGTCCCGAGCCTTCGGACTGTAAAGTGAAAGGTAGCACTTAGGACTTTAATGCAGACTTTGAATTTTCAAGTCCCAATTTGCGGAACATGCTGAAAACTGAATGCAATCAAAGGACACTTTTTACCACTGTGCTTGATAGAGGAAAACATCTCAGACTCTTCTGCTGTCCATCCTCCTGTGCCTAGACATTCTGTGATGTGAAGACAGTGCTTTTTCTTTTTCTTTTTTTTTCGTTTTTTGTTTAAGCCATTGAAACCAATGAGACCATCACTCTATTGTGACCCATATCTAATCATATTCATATTTAAGTCTGTGTGGAAATTAAAATAATCTTGGATTGTATTGGTGTTTGGAAAGTGTCGACGGAATTGATATATAGAAACAATAAGGATTTGTAAGTTCATATTTATGTTGTACAAATGTTATAGATGTTGTACATGAAGTCTCTCGTCGAAATTGAGGTTTTGTCCCTTTAAGGGCATCAGTCGAATACAGATTTAAACGCTGATGCCAGTGCATATAAGTGCTATCTCGTGACCTGGAGCAGTTAAAAGAATGTCCACCTTGTTTCAAAGCCATATGTACTAGATTCCTCTTTCCCCCACTGTAGGACAAGATACAATTGAATGCTTTGACTCTTTATATGAAATGCTTCTCTTTCTATTTAGTGTGTTGTGCTTGTATGTGCTGAAGAATTGTGCTTCTTGCCAATCCCTTTTACGATTATATTAATGTATAGAAAATATACATACTTATATGATCTCTGTTCTTTTTGTTTGACATTTTAATAAAGCACTTCAAAACAGTCCCAAGCCATGGTTTCGTCTTTAAAAATGAAAAACAACACTGCTTTTTGATGAAGACAAACGGGTGAGGTTTAAAGGGGCCCCGTATCATGGGAAAACACATTTTCATCATTTTTCAAATAAAAGAGTTTAGTATCTAAACATAGTCAAAACATGCCACTCATTCATGCCAAACATTCACTCATCAGTTCCTATATAGAAAATAAGCTGCAAAAACAGCCTGTTGTTTTTGTGATATCATGAAAGCCAAAATCCCATTTGTGTTGAAGTAATAAGGAGCGTTTTTGGCTGAACTGCTTTTTGAATGGGGCGCAACACAGGGCAGCCGATCAGAACAGAGGTTATTTACATATGTGAGTCTTAAAGGCGCTGTAGCAGCCAGTTTAATTCTAAGCATTAAAGAGGTTGGGAAATGTGTAAAAATTAATTGTGGCTGTTTTTGGGCTCAAGATCAACCAGCAATCAAGACCAACAATGTTTGTATAATCTCATTAATAAATAAATAGATAGATAAATAAACAAACAAGCAAGCTGTAATTCATTGTATCGGTGTAAATCATGCAGCACAGCCGCATATTTTCCAAAAACAGCAGACTAACTTTAGTACGTTTCAGTGCCATCCTCGTTCTGTTCCTTAAGTCCCGCCTTCCTATTGATTTAGCCAATCAGCAACGCCTCTCTCCGAAGAGCCAATCACAGATTTGGATAAGCTCTCAATACATTTTTACAAAAGAAAAGTAGCAGCCATGTCTTAACAGCGGGCTGCATTCCTGACTCTCGATTTTACACTATTCTGATTTCGCGTTATACATGAAAACCTGTCGATTGAAGTTAAAACTGGATCAAATGGGCTTTCCGCCCGACATCCGCTGGTCAGTGTGAGGTGATTTAGCGAGCTGGCCAGCTGCTTGAGGCGCTCAGAGAGGGAGAGGCCGGCCGGTCGGGCGGGCAACAGCAGAAGAAGAGGAGAAGAAGAAGGGAGTGTGCAGGTTTTGTGTCCGTTACTAACAGCAGAGGCTCGCTTAAAACCCAAACCTGTTGATTAAAACGAGAACCACTGTGAAGAAAGGCCACAGTCGTCCGCCAGATGAGTGCAAACGGAGGTTTTTGTTCTTAACCGTTTTCCTTGACGCGCCGGAACTAGCGAGTCAGTCGGGCAGGAGAGCTGGGAATGATTTGTAGCAGGTTTGTTTAGCTTAGCTTAGCCTAGCCGCTAGCGTCATTAATTCACATGGACGCCAGAATGGCAGCAACACAGACTTCGTTTTGCAGCTTGCGACCTTAGCCAGCGGACGAGGCCCTGCTGGAGTTTATGACCGGTTTGTTAACGAGCAATTTCAAAGCCGTTTGCAGTGTCCTTTACCATGAGCCTTTCCCGTGGAGGCACCGCGCTGAGCCTAAATCGATCCAGACCGAGTGTAGATGGAGCAGGGGCGTTTCGGGTTTAGCTAGCCGGCCTGGCAGCTACATGAGAGCACAACATTCAAGAGAAAAAAACAAACAAACAAGTAGTTTGGCCACCTTTTGTGACTGGCTTTGTATTCTTTGAGGTAACGCCTGAGTGTGGATTTGAAGAGGGGATTTATTTTAGCAGTCGGCTGCCTGCTTTATGTCTGGGAGCAGATAAAGTTCGCTTGCTAGCTAGCCGAGGTTGGGGTCAGTGTTTAGAGCCCGCTCCCAAATGAAGGAGTATAAAGTGGTGGTGTTGGGCAGCGGTGGCGTCGGCAAGTCCGCGCTGACTGTGCAGTTCGTCACCGGGACCTTCATCGAAAAATATGACCCAACGATCGAGGACTTCTACCGGAAAGAGATCGAAGTGGACTCGTCGCCATCGGTGCTGGAGATCCTGGACACCGCCGGGACTGAGCAGTTCGCGTCCATGCGAGATCTCTACATCAAAAACGGCCAAGGCTTCATCTTAGTTTATAGCCTCGTCAATCAGCAGTCCTTTCAGGTGAGGTCCTGTAGTCGATGCGTTTGGTTTACGTTCAAGTTCAGCAGTTTGGAAAGTAGCTAGCTAGTTGATTTTTTATGCCTGTGCCACGCCTAGCAGAATACTATCAAATGATGGTGAACACAGAGAGGGGGACTGTCAATTTAACGTCGCCCTCCAGTTACTTAGATAGAATATCCCACAGCACATTGTAATTTTCAGTGTGGCAGGCCTAAAAGTAACTTTTATGACAGTCAACAGGTTGGTGCAGTGAAATGTTTTGGAGATTTCATTGACATTGCCCTCTGTCTTTCTTGGGTCCCACTAGGATATCAGACCAATGCGAGACCAGATAGTACGAGTGAAGCGCTTTGAGAAGGTTCCTCTGATTTTGGTGGGCAATAAGGTGGACCTGGAATCGGAGAGGGAGGTTGCAGGATCTGATGGCCGGGCCCTTGCACAAGAGTGGGGTTGCCCATTCATTGAGACCTCAGCTAAGAGTAAGACCATGGTGGACGAGCTCTTCGCTGAGATTGTGAGGCAGATGAACTATGCCACTTTGCCCGAGAAGCAGGAGCAGTGCTGCACGGCCTGTGTGGTGCAGTGAGGTCTCTGGCCTTGCCACAGTCTCCCCAGGTAGGCCATCGCTTTAACAATCCCACAGTGGGCATTTGGGACAAACACAACCTGGACATATACTTAACATATATCAAAATATATGTATGCAATACATTGTCAATGGTCTGTGCATTCAGTAACCACCCCCAGACGATTTTGTGAATAATGTTCAGGTTTTGAAAAATAAACATTCTTTGATGTTCAATACAAAGTGAGAGATTCATACAAGCACTGTATGTGTATGTCCTTATCAAGAGTGCACTGTGGCTCAGGAGAAGAGCCTGAGTTGAGGACAGCCAGCTACTCTAGGTTGGCTTGGTTCTGTTATCATTAGATTACCCAAAGAATGTGGCATGAAGAACAAAACTGCCTAAGCACAGAATCTGACTGGTGAAGCGTGAAGAGGTAGCGCAGTCTAGACTAGTGTCGGGCACACGAGAACAGGGAGATTCCCAGTAAAGAAAGAGGGAAAACCCAACGTCCTGAATGACAATCGATGTTCCAAAACAACAGGAAATGGTGGTCTGCAGAAGTTCTCTATTGATGCACTGTCATTCTATTGTCATCAATACAAGTGTACTAAATAGTTTATTTATTATTACTTTTTTGTTTTCAGAAGTTGAAGAATTTGCTGATTTTTGAACAAGTGTAACCTTTTCAACAATATTCTTTAAATGGAAATTCCCAAAGTGCTGAGTTCTGCCATAATTAATACTGGTGCCTTTTCATTTTCTCTAGCTACACCACCTGGCAGGATGCCCTTTTGAACCAGTGTCTGCTTCAATGATGTTTTGACCCCATGAGCCACACCAGTGCCACTGAGCCACCTGAACTCTGAGACTGATGTCATCTGACAAGGCTTGGTTTTGCTGCAACTAAAGCAGGGACTTCGAAATCTCTGACTTTCATCGGTGTCTGTATTGTAGAGCACATATAATAGTACAGTATATGTACAGTATACTGGGCTTTTTGGGAATCACATGATGAGCATCAGTGGGAGGGCAGAGGACTTTGGAAATGGGGGCATCTGTGACAGGGCTATTAATATCTATTTTCTTAGAGGGGGAAATGGGTTATATATGAGCAGGTCTTCTCAAGGCTGTAAAATCACTGAAGGTGCTCAGCTGTACATCCCCAGGTTTTCTTTTTAACATTTTAAGTTTGATATCTAATTTTAAAGTGATAATAGCCATTACAGGTTTGAGACCTGGACCATCTAACTTTTTCTTTCTTCTTTTTTTTTTAAACTACAGTATGTATGCTTTTTTCTCATAATAGTCTATTTATTAAAATCTTTAATTACAAAGATGGATACATATTGCATTTTTATGTTCCTTTGGCTGTTTTGCTTTTTTGTGACAACAGTATGCATTGTTTCTGAAATGGAGCATTAATGACGCCTTAAATGATTACAGTCTCAAACTTGCGTGGAGTCATTGCTTCCTGCCTCCTGTATTTTCACTTTTGTGCACACATGCTAAGTTACTTCTGGATCCAGAGACTGTTGTAACTTGGCAGAAAAAATATTCCTGCTGCTCTAGTGATGGATATTTTTCTGGAAATATTTATTACTGTAAACAAAATTTCATTATAATGTTTAACTATCCTAATGTGACCCTTGTGTTTGAATCTTTAACTGTCACAAGCAAGTATTGAATGTGAAGGTTGAATTAAGCCTCACTATCACAAAGAATGTTCAAAACGTTAATAACTAAAATCCAAAACTGCATTCAATAGGCTCCACATATCATGCAATATTTTCTAAACAGTCTGTTGAATAATAAAGCCTGGGTTGATGTACCTTATTGACCTCTAAACTACCCGTTGTCTAACTGAATGCACTAGTCTGTAGTTTAGACAGAGAATTTGATTGTTAATGGGTTTACATGGAAAGTAGCTTCACTTCTCAATTTTTGGTGCATGTAGACATTTGTTGGATGGATCTGTAAGAGAAGACTCAAATCATACATCATATCTGACTGCTCTTTATTCTTCAGTCCAATAGATGGCACTGTTGAACAGTCTATATGTCTGTATTTGCAGATATTTGGGATTTTGTTTAAAACTTAAGTATAAAAGCAGTTTATGTCCCACGGGAACTTTGAGTTAATATTACTTTGCAGTCTTGAGGAACAGAATTCTGCATTTTTGCTTTTTGTGTAACCTCCACACCTTATTTTTTATATATATATATATATATATATATATATATATATATATATATATATATTATTTTATGAAGTGAAGATAAATGCAAATAATGGCCCATATTTAGTAAAATACATTAATAATGTTGATATGATGTCAGCTTATGCCTTTTACTTCGCATTGGATAGGACTAATGTTCTTACACTGGGGTGCTTGATGAATAACGGCCAATATGCCTTATTTCCCACAGTGGGAGTGTAGCCTATTATTAATTTATACATATTGACAGAGTATGACAACTAGAACAAATTAAAATAAACCATATAAAGTTTTACTAGAAAGAAAATATGATTCGTTGCTGTCTTATTTTAGAATCTCTGGGTACTTTTATTTTGAAGAGGACTTTTGTAAATAGCCGCGGCCATATTTGCACATCTTTTCAGTTCATCTGTTCTTTCTGCTGTTTTGTGAATAATAGCACAATGAAAACAGTGTTTGTAACAGTTGGAACAACCTGTTTTGATGATTTGATAGCAAGTATGACTTCAGATGAAGTCGTAAAGGTAATGCATGTTGGGTTAATAGCATTCAAGGTGCAGTGGCTGTACGTTATGTACGTACTACAGTGTAAATCTCAGTTAGCTAGCGTTAACTAACAAGCTAAATACAGTTAACAGCTGACTTCTGGTTAAGAAGCTTGGCTAGATGGACCTCGTCCAGCTTACCTCACGCTATTTCGTGTCTGTCATCTTTCTAATATTTCAAGGCATTAGTAGACCGAGGATACACAGACGTGGTGCTACAGGTAGGTCGAGGCTCGTTGGTCCCGGATCCACAGAGCTGTGCTGGACTGAGGCTCGAAGTTTTCCGTTTTCAAGAGTCCATAGCAGAAAACATCAAGTTGGCTGATCTGGTCATCAGTCATGCTGGTGGGTAACTAACGTTAGCCAGCTCGGTCTTTTGACAAAGGATGGGCTGATTTTCTGATTTGTTTTAATACCTGTTAATACCAGTACTAACACCAAAACTGATAATGATACTTTAAGAAGTCTTCTTGTGGGTTTAAAAAGGGAGAATCTATGATTTCTACAGTGAAAATTAAAAAAATATATATTTTTGAAAGCCAAGCATCACCAACTACTGAATAACTGCCACATAAACCTGTTGTTTAATAGAGTGAAATAACTGCATATGACCTGCCGTCTTAGGCTTTCACTCAGTCTGAAATTCAGTCAGTGATCAAAGTGTTGTGACTTCTGCCCACCTCCTCTGATATTTTTTTTATCATATCACTGTGCACCAGCCAGGGCAAGGAAAATGACATTAACCATTGACGTCATGTTTCACCTCCCCCTTCTCTTGACGTAACATGTAACAAACATCTTATAAATAGCTTGTAACATTTGGCTCAAATGATGCACAAACACTATGTTTTTTCAGGTTGTTCTGGCTACTGCGTGTGCACATATCTCCTCAGTGAGGGGGCTTTTTCCGCTTGCAGCTTTACCTGCAAGCTGATTGGCTCTTCATTGAAGAGCAGGACTTTCCCCATCAACAGATGCCCTGTTGAGCATTGCAAGCTTTTCCATTCATGTTTGACAGTGGACTGTCTCCTCCTCCTTTATAATGTCTCTGGGAAAACTGAGACCCTACCTGATACTTTGTTTCACTCAGAACATGTCATGGTATGGGAAAATTTGGGAAGATGGGAAGATTCGCATTGTTTTTAAAGAAAGCACTGTATCAATCTGCAAAATTCAAAAGTTTTTTTAGTGAACTACTTTAATATTTTTTTTTAACATCCCTATTCTGTTCAGTTGGAATGAAGCTATCATTCTCACTCCAGGGGCAGGAAGCTGTTTGGAGGCTCTTGGAGCTGGAAAGCCTCTGCTAGTAGTGGTCAATGACAAGTTAATGGACAACCATCAACTTGAGCTTGCCAAGCAGCTGCAGGCGGATTCGCATCTCCTCTACTGCACCTGCAGGTCTGTGGCACATTTTATGGAGCTCCAACTTCAAAAAACTGTTTCATATATTTCTACTTCATTTTACTGCATTTCATTGTGGTTCTGTACACATTTCAAAGGCAAAGTCATCTTTATTGTCAGTCCTTCTCATTACAGATGGGTAGAGAGAGAAACGACATGTAGTTTCCCTGGGAAACGGTGTTAAATTTAACACAGAACAGCAGCAGACAACCGTGCAGACGGACAATAAATAAAATAAATCTAGACAAATTATACGAACACTACACAATACATTCTTCTTTAAATATGTAATAATTACAACTATACAAGCATTGAGCACAGGACAATAGACAAAATAGACCAGCTATTGGTCCACAGTGGCAAAAATAGTTGTGTATGTATTATTAATCAATGCACGTGTAGATAACACTAGTTTTAGTATTACAACCACAAAGACTAATAAAACTGCAGACAATTTACAGATTTAAGTAACTGTGCATATAAAGTGAGTGAGATTACAGTTTAACAGTAAAGTGACAGAGTGACATTTGGGGTTTGTGCAACTGGGTGAAAGTCAATAAGGATGGGTGCAGAGGACGTCTTTGAGTAGGGATGATGGTGGCTGATTTGAAGCGTGATGGGACAGTACTGAAGATGTCTGTGAAGACAGTAGCTAGCTATTTGGCACACTGCTTCAGCACAGACACAGGAATGTCAGGGCCTGCAGCTTTGCATGGGTTCATCCTCAGCAGGGTTCTCCTCCCATCAGCTGCATTCAAAGACAGCACCTGGTCACTGAAGAAGGCAAGATCCCCACTATTGTCGCAGGGTTGGATGCTTCAAAAAGAACATGGAAGCTATTTAAAGCACTCGGGAGGGCAATGTCGTTGATGCAGGCAAGGTGGTTCTTTCTCCTGTAGTCAGTGGTAGTTTGATTGCCCTGCCACATACTTCATGGGTCATTGGTTGGTGAAGTGTTTGTGTGTTTTCAGAGCATATGAAGCCTTGGCTCTCTTCATGTCAGTGGTGAGGCTGTTTGCGGCTGCCCTGAGTTCCGCTGTCACCCACTCTGAATGCAGTGTCATGGGCCTTGAGGGAACCAGGGCTTCTGGTTTGGTCATTTGGTGACAGTTCTTGTGATCACTACATCGTCCACTTGCTTATATATCCAGTGATAGATGATGCTTATTCATCCACGTAGGGCTGGGCGATATGGCCAAAAAATCAAAATCTCGATTATTTTCAAATTTATTAACGATTCTCGATTTTTCTTGGTTCTTGCATAATGCCAGAGCCTCTGATTGGTCGGTAAAAAAACTGACTGGTCGGTAAAAAAGAGGCGTGCCATTACACAAAGGTGGACAACTTTGAGGAGCTTCGGCAGGCACACTAATATTTCACTGTGAAACGCGCATTTGTTAAATAAACAAAGAATATCTCCTAAATGTAAGATGCTAAGTCTGTTATTCGGCAATACTAACTAGTAATGAGCACCAAAACATACAGGTCATCTTAGGTTCACAAGAGCACGAGGCTGAAGTTGGCTTTCTGTTCACCAGCTTCTTAATCGAATTTTCCCGTTCCACCTTAAATGGTGGCAGCATTCTGAACTGAAACGTCGCCATAGTTAGAACAGTGAAAGAATCGTTTTCCAGCAGTCATGAAACTTCATAAAATGTCATAGCGACCTGGAGTATCTATGACTGGCAACACGAAACCGCGGAAAGAATGCGAGCTTATAAGTCCGCGAAGGCACTTTCGGCTTCGCACAACCCTCGAGAATTCCGTTTCGCGTTGTTTCACTCATTGCTCCCGTTCCACTGGGTGTTTGTGCCGTAAGAGCTGGAACAGATTCGTCGTACTGCTGCATTTGGTTCCAGCTGTCTTTCGACACAACTTACACTTTACATGAATTTGTTCAACATCTGACTTTTCAAATCGGTACCAGTTCCAACCCCTGAACTGATGTTTTCACCTTTCTTTGGTACGAGCTCACGCCTCTGCGAAGCGCCGCCGCCTCCATCTTGGAGTGTTTGTATGTTTTTTTTTCTACCGCGCGCGGCCGAGGTCAGCACAGACCTGTGAGAGGCGTTTGTTTTTTATTGAAGATGCGTTTTTCGTGTGGCTTGGAAATTTGAATAGTTTTTCTTGGTATTTTAATTAGAGTACAAGCAATGTAAACATGTACAAACTCGATTGTCACATTTCTAACATCGTGTGAAAACGTTCATTCGAATTAATCGAATTAATCGTGAAAATCGCCCAGCACTTCATCCACGTCTGTGTGATCCTCACATGTAGCACATCCTCCAGTAAGTGCAGCTGAAACAGTCATGTAGCACTGAAACTGCATCGTCTGGCCACACTTTGATGGTTTTTGTGACTTTTGCTGAGTTCCTACTATAACTGTAAATTCACCCACTTTTATCGGCACAACGAAAACTGAACCTTTTGGTCTGTGCTTCCGTCTCACTTTTTTGCTGCTTGCTTAATTTTGCACCAATGAATAGGCATTGCATACACAATTCAAATTCATGAATTTGATCTGACTTGCTCATTTGATCAAGAAACCATCAATTATTGAGAAATGTTTCATTTCCAGTGACTGACTTTCCAAGTGTTGTGCATTTGGGTGCTTAATGGCCAGATCAGAAAATTAAACCATCGCTTGATGTGAAAATATGGCTACACGCTTCGTACAGTGGTGCAGTAGTGGTTCCCAAACCATGGTATGCGAACCCCCAGGGATACTTCAAATGACACTAGGGGTACATCAGAAAATACTTATCATAATCTTCATTTGATTGCATACCATAACCTGACCACACAATTATACCGGCACCTCCCTGATACAAACAACCACAAAGAAGCTTCCAGCACAGGGCAAACTCATGCTCTAATCGGGGCGGTCTTTGCACTAGGAAAACTTAGGCAGCTGCCAAGGGCCCCCATCAGCCAAGAGCCTCAGGAAAATACAAATGAGATATACTGCGCATGTTGATGTTAGATCATTCCAAAATCTATATACATTTTAAAAATAGATGTTATTTGCAATAGTAGTTTGTATATTTGCAACTTTATCTATTGCCTAAAGTTTGTATTATTTTATTATTATGGTAATATATTATTATAACATTGTATTACTTATGTTTTCATCAGAAAATATCTCTTCCCCTTCCAGCACTTTACCTCAGACTCTCAGGGACATGGACCTGTCAGCTCTGCTGCCATTCCTGCCTGGTCAGCCTCAGAAGTTTGCCAGCTTTATGGACAAAGCTGTCGGGCTTGTGTGACTTACTACATCTGTCGTCATAAGCATCAGAATGGAGGCAGACTGCATGCAGAACTGTGCTCTCTCAGGAATACCTGACTTAAGGAATCAGCTATCTTTGGTTCGTTGTCTGCTGTTAACTAACCAAAAATACTGGGAAATGGATGCATGTAAGATGATTGGCGACTCTGTCTGTTGTGTCTGCTGCACCTTTGTCTTGAAAGCCCTGGTATACATAAGTCCATTAATTTTTTTGTAGGATTAATAAATTATTTTTATATCAGTTTTGTTCTACTCGCCTTTTTTCTCTGTACATGACGTAGATTATCATGTGGAAGGAAGCTGTGAAATACGGAAGCATTGCTTGGGCTACATCCTGTTAGTGGGCAGAATATAAGCATGTTGTGTGTGAGCTCTCTCTAGAGAGCCTAACGATGTACCATGGCTTATAGAAAAACATCAGGAATTCTTTTTGGGTGTATTTTACTCATCTTTTTTCAGGGTTGTTTGTCCAGAATCCATTCTTCTCCTAGTAAGTATTTTATTCTTCTTACTTGTTTGTTTTTGTTAATACTGAACTTGATTTGTGAGTTGAATAAAAAAAGTTAATTCTTTCTTTTACTGTACACAATCTTTAATCTTTAAAATGGCATAAATAACAATAAATAAAGGAATAAATAAATAGATAGCTAGATAGATTACATATGTTTTAGATGAATTCTTTACTGCCTTTACCTCTACTAAAAAATGGGTCTGGAAACTTTGAGGGGGATTTCCCATGAGTCATTTGTGTTATGATGTGAATGATGGGGTGCTTAGATTACTTATTAAGAGCAGTTCCAACTAAAGACCTTTTAGCTGGGTTTACGTTTATTTATTCTTTTTATTCCATATATTTTATTTTATACGAATATAAATTCAAAATAAAGTTGAGACAGTATGTGAAATTCTAATACAAACAGAAGGCAGGGACTATTCAGTTCTGTTTGACCAGTATTAAATTGAAAACAAGATATTTGATATTTTACCTTATGACCCTTTTTTGTAAATAAACGCTTGTTACAGTGCTTGCAAAGCAACGTACTGTATTGCTAACCACTGGCTTCTTCTGCTTCTTCTTCTTCTTAAATAGTACAATGGCTATGATATCCCATAGACTTATAATGAACCATTGTGACATCATTATCAGGTTTAAACTGGTTTGAACCGATTCTTCACTGTTCACTTTTTTTAGGCATTGTTCATTTTGATCTTAGGCTTCTGTGTCGCTGTTCAGCCATGGAAGCCCATTTTGTGAAATTCTTAGTGCGCAGATATTTTGCTGATGTTGCTTCTAGAGGCAACTTCTTTCAACTATTCAGTGAGTGATTCAACAGAGGATTGGCACTGTGCGCTTCAGCACTTGGCAGCCCCACACTGAGTTTGTCTACCGCTTTGTGGCTAAGGTGTTGCTGCTCCTAGGTGCTTCCATTTCACAATAATAGCACTTACAGTTGGCAGGGGCAGATCTAGCAGGACAGAAATTTCACAAACTGACTTGTGGCAGAGGTGGCATCCTATGACATGTTTAAAGTCACTAAGCTCATCAGCATGACCCACTCTACTGACACTGTCTATCGAGACTGCATGGCTATGTGCTTAAGTCAGTCCACCTGTTAGCAATGGGTGTGGCTGAAATACCTGAACTCAACAATTAGGAGGGGTGTCCCAATACTTTTGTCCATATAATCTGTCTATCTATCTATCTATCTATCTATCTATCTATCTACGCTTCCTCTTCTCTATCTTTTGTGAACTATTTTCAGTGTGATTGTGCAGCAGTTAAACTATTGTTACTGTCCACAGCCAGAAACCAATCTTTAACCAAAAGTTTGTAGACACTGCTCTTATATCTATCTATTTATTCATCTTAACATCCTAAATATTTTTCTAATCTTTAAATTTTTCTTTATTTCACATTTTTAATTTTTGCTTTGCAAATTATTATTTTCTTCAGGAAATGCATATCTCATTTCAAATTTGATGCCTTCAAGATGTTTAGAAAAAGTTGCAACAGGCACATGTTTATGACATCACCTTTCCTTGTTATAACATTTAATATATAAAAAATAACATTTGAAGACTTATTTTAATACAATCAAAACAGTGTAAAACATCAGACCACAATACACGTTTCCACTGTGCCCTAGTCCACTTCAGAGAGCCCAGAGAAATCGACAGCTTTTCTGGACGTTGTTGACATATGACTTCCAATTTGCGTAATACAGTCTAAACTTATGTTTGTGGATGCAGTGACAAATAGTGTTTACTGACAACGGTTTGTTGACTTATTCCAAAGCCTGTGTGATGATTTCCGTCCAACTATGCCAGTTTTTAATGCAGTGCCATCTCAAGGAACAAAGGTCAAGGGCATTCAGTTGTGGTTTTCTGTCTTGCAGAAAACCTCTGGATTCTCAAAATCTTTGTATGATGTTATGCACTGCAGAGGGAGAAATACCTAAAATACTTGCAATCACTTCTAAATGAACATTGGGCCTTGTTCACCAACATCTTCCTAAGTTTTTTTTAAATTTGTTCTTGAGAAAGGTTCTAAGGAAACGTATACGTCAGTTCATGACGTGTTCTCAAACCTCAGAATTGTTCCCATCTTTGTGATCTTGTACTTATTCTCTTCTTACCTAAGAACAAATCTCACATGAGAAAACATTGCTGAATGTCCGAATCTTTGTGAAAACTGCATACGTGGGTTTTAAGAAGAAATCTCATCTTAAGAACGGTTGGTAAATGAGGCCCATTATCTTAAACTGTTTGATTATTTGGTAAAGTGAATAATTGTGGCAAACCTTGATGCATCTTTGCTCATAAAGGACTAGGCCTTTCCTGGATGCTTATAATATACACAAGCTTGACTGCAAACTTGTTTAAGATTTTTTTTTCACAACGTTCCTAGTTTAAATTACCCCTTTCTCTACACTTTTGGAACATCTTGCAGGCGTCAGTGATATATTTACAAAAACAATGAAGTTGATAAACATTATATATCAGGTCAAAGTGGATTTACAAATCACCGCCTTCTGGTTTTGTTTGTATTGCACATACATTTTTTTCTCCTGCCTAAATTTTAATTTGATATTTATTTGCTTACTCAGGTAGGATCTGTACCAGTCAAGATTGTGTGGTTGACATCAGTTGTATGGTCATCAATCTGGAATATGTGGACTGCAGTTGGACCAGATCACAGATGCAAGACATGAGCTATAACTTCAGCAGTGCGTAAGTCTCTGTGCACCTCGGTTTTCACTGCGTCAGTACCAATGATGCCAGTGTTGTTGTATTTCTGTGACTTGTGACTGACTTGTGGTTGATGATGACACAAGGTGACTTTTTTTTTCAATATCAGATTTAAGCATGAGGATTCATATCAAGAGTGTCCACAGTACCTACAGGAGAACGGTCAGAATGTGGGCTGCAGGATCCCTTTATATGAGAACGGCCAGTTTGATGCTTTTTATACAAAACTGTCCATGGGTGGAAATCTGACAGTCGAAAGATATTATGGAGATCTTAAAGACAGAGGTAAGTGAAGATATGATCATATTTTAGGACACATTTTTAAGCAACACTATGCACAGTGGGATATACAAGTATGTGTGTGTATATATATATATATATATATATATATATATATATATATGTACATATATAACTTCGTATCTCCATTTTTCTGGTTCCATTGACTTACATTAAAAGTAAAGTAGGTTTTTTCCTTCTCCTGTAAAGTTACCATTGTGGAGATATGATGTTTTGTTCTGACAACAGCGATATATATATATATATATATATATATATATATATATATATATATATATATATATATATATATATAATGATTATTATTTAATGTTCTTAACGACTGCATTCTTATCTATTCCTTCCCTGCATGTCCAGTGAAGATCAACCCTCCCTTTAATCTCTCTGTGGACTGGACTGCTAACGGTGACTTGTGCCTTTACTGGGTGAACAATGTCACCAAGCCTCATTGTTTAGAGTTTATGGTACGCTATCAGAGAGGTTCTGACCAGTGGCAGGTAAGAAAGAGAGTCTTTTAATAGAATAAAAATACCCAAACTGTATAAATTTAATTTTATAATATGATCACTATTACAATATTCACTGAACCTCAAAACAGTGTCAATTCCATATTTATCTCTCATACAGGTCTCCACTAAACAGAAGTCTACTTCATATTGCATACCTCTTGTCCCCATGGGAGTTAATTTTACATTCCAAGTAATGAGCAGGATGGGAAACCTCTGTGGTCTCTCTGAATTTTGGAGTGAATGGAGTGCTCCTCTACAGTGGGGTAACTACACAGGTATGCTTCACTAGGGTGATGCTCAGTACACCAATTTGTTTTGTCTTTCCCATAGGATCTGTTGTTCTTTCAGTCATCCTCTTCCTAACCTTGTTTGCCTTCCCTTCTAACTTTCTAGGAAGCATCAGTGCACCATTATCACAGCCGTGGTGGCACCTGTGGCTCAGTGTCTTGGGAGTCATTGTCCTGATCGCCCTTGCTGTGCTGTTATACTATATTGAAAGGTAAAGTCTGTAAGGCTGTATATGTATGGGTCTCTTCTAATATTTCCATTATTATGTTTTTTATGTTTTTATGTGTCATTAAGATACTCTGATGCAAAAGTCATGGACCACCTTTTCGTTTATTTCATTTAAACAGCCAGTTTTCATTGTCAGAATTAAGCAGGAAACATTTATATCACCGGAAATTACACAAAAACTTCCAACACGAAGTGTAATATCAAATCAGTCAGTATTCAATTTGTCTACTGTTTACTTTTGTGCACCTACTGCAACTTTAGCTCTTTCATTCTTCCAATCTTAAAACCACTGAGTTACTGCTGGATCTTCCAAACAAAAGCTGTTCCCAAAGGACTCACTGTCATTATGTTCCCCTTTAAAGAAACAGACATTCACACAAGCAGCTACCCAAACACACCTCAGCTGCCTTTCAAAATTCTTTTTATGTGCATCTAAAATGGCTAAAGGAGATATGTCTGATGAGATTAGATAAAAGATAATCTACCTGCATAAAGAAAGTCAAAGTTTCCAAAACTGGGGTTCAAAAATAATTAAAAGTTCTCCAAAAATGTAACTGACAGATAAACAGTACTTAAAGCTTTCATCTTTAAGAGAGAAGAGAAAATCATTCTGTCTATCCATCCACCGAGAGAAGGCGGCTCAACACTGTGTGTCTGATTTTTGTAATTACATGGGTCTGAGAAGCAGGAAATACATCCAACTTCTAAGTCTGAACTTTGAAAGTGTGGAAAAGTATCCCTGTAGATTTATTTGATGAACTGAAAGCACGTCTCTTGAAAAGAATGGAAGCTGTAATAAAGTCAAAGGGTGGACCCACTAAATACTTAACACATTGATATTATATTTGGTTCTTGAGGCTTCTTGAAGTTTCTTGCAAACTTATAGTTAATTGTCCTTTTGGTGAGAAATTAAATGAAAGGGTTACCACCACACAGTAGTGTATCATACTAGACTGACTAGTGGGGGAGAAAAAAGACTGATTGAAACAAAACTGTGGGTGTAAACGTTTGTGTAATGCTGCCTTTGGGTGCATTGAGAACTTATTTACTAAAAGTCTTACCTCTCTGCTCACAGGGTAAAGGTACTTATACTTCCTGTGGTCCCTGACCCAAGCAAGAACCTGCAGGATTTGTTCTATAAACATAATGGAAATGTTGAGGTATGTTGGGCTCCTTTGTGTGTGTAAACTATATTTCTCTAAATCATTTTTGATTCCATGACCTAACCTTCACACCACATTTCCAAATCTTTGTCTCTTCTTCTCCTCAGAGCTGGGTTCATGTCTCCGGAGAGCTGAAGAAAGCTTTTGATACAGACTACACAGAGTCTCCCTGTGTTGTGTGTGAGCCCAGTCCCACTCTTAAGTCAAAAGAGTGCGATAAACCTGTGCAGCATTCTGCTTAAACTGCTGTGCACTGGTGCTCCACCTTCATTTGACTTGACCATCAGCAGTCAACTTCTGTATAATCAGGAACCTCTGTATAGTTTACCATGATAACATACGATCAGATGGACAGAGTGAGAGTAATATTTTTGTTTTCATGGGTTTCTTCAAAAGATTCTTATTTTATGGTCTTTTTAAATATTCTTTAAGGGCAAATCCACTAATTTTTCAAAATGTCTGCATAAATAAATGTTTAAGGAAAGTTATTCGGAGTGGTTTGGTGCATGCTCCATTCTAGAGAAGATTGCTGAGTCAGGATTGTTCACAGTGGTGCTAATAGGAACCAGACGTCCAAAGTGTTAAACGCCTCTAAAAGCTGCCTCACAGAAAGTTATTACATGAAATGGTGACAAATATGCTGCCTGATGCCCGAGACATTCTAAATTGAATTATGCAACAGTTTTGAAAAATTGTCAGAATTGACCTTTAATGTATTATTGAGGTACTGACATATAACTAAACTGACTGCACATGAAAAGAATAAAGAAAATACATCAAAATGTTTCTGTGGATTTAAATGTTTCTGCAATTCAGCCTTGACTGTGCTCAGAGGATTGTAGGGTGAAAACATTTGCAGTGTCTGGTTTTCTGTTCTTCCATAATTATGGCAGCAAATGTGGTCAGATACTGGATCCAGTCCTTCACTGCACTGGTTCACCAAACCATAAAGGCAAAAACCTTTTTTTTGCAATCTTGACTGTTTGTGTTCTGTGTTCTGCATCACTAATTTCCTCTTAATTCCATTTTTTTTCTGTATGTTTGTCATGGTGGCATCATAAACACTGAACTTGGGCTCCATAATAATATGGAGAACTTTTGACAGGACAGCTGTTTCCTGCAAAAAAAACATAGCAAACCAGAACAGGTTCAGTGCAAAAGATTGTTAAAATGAAAACCGATGCTCAACCTGCCATTTTGGAGGAAATAAAAAGCAAGGGAGCTCACCTACAGCAATCGTTAGCAGTTTGATCTTCAGTTGACCATCATTTAGTAATATTACACCAAGCTGACAAAGACAAAAAAGTTTGTTTATTGTATTTATAATAATGTAGTTGTTATAATAGAGTAGCTGCCTTTGCTTCATTTTAAAGCACAGTGCCTTATTTGACTGTCATTATGACATCACAGACATGATTACATCACTCGTGTCGCTGTGGTGGCATCTGTGTCACAATCGCACCACTACAACACACAGGTTCCAAAAACTGACCTGCAGGCGCGGTGGACTCAGCTTTCACAGACTGCCGCTGCCATGTTCATTTACATTAAACATGCAGGTAAGAGTCACGTTTGTCACAGGATTTTTTATTGCAATTGTGCTTGAATTTATGCCATTGAGTGAATGTTTTCTGCAAGATTATAAATAAAAGGTTGAGTATTTGGTGGATACTCCTTTTCCCGGGAGCAGTGCATTTCTTTTTCTTTTTTTTCATTGGGTTGATTGTGAGAAAGTGCTCAGTTCAACTGAATTTCTGTGTTTAGAGGATGAGCAGTTCTTAGTCAACACCAACTGCCCCATCACTGTCCTGCTACAGTATGTGAGAGCCAAGCTGGAAGTTGCTGAGTCAGGTACATGCTTGAAATGTAAGGAACAGTATTAGTCATACCAAACAGTCCTCTAAGCTTTTTTTTTTTTTACATACTAAGGTGTGTTATGCTGTAATTATATGGAAAATAATGCACACTGTCTGAGTTGTTTTTAAGTAATACTAGCGAGAAGGCTGGACCCACCAGCTGATCCTGGTCTTGTAAGCGGGTAAAAAAGTCATATATGATTAAAATCCAAATCAGAAATAAACTGACAAAGGCTCTATTTGAGAGGAAGCATTTGATTTTAATCTTCTATGTACTTTAGTTTCTGTTTCTTTTATTTCTTGCAAAAAAATGTTTCATATATAACCGTAGGATCTTCCAGAATGAGGCAGACCTCAGTGGGAAGTTCAGAGTAGAGCTGGCCATGCTTTAACTCTAAGTGTCCTTTAAGGGTTTGAAAGCTACACATTTTTGTGGTCATCATGGCTGCCAAGTCAACAATGACATGGCAAGAGGTTGGCACGACTTCAGGCAAGAGGTCACAAGCCACTGCTGTAAATATTTCAGGCTCCCTTTTAATTCATACGGTACACCGGAGGTGGTATCCACTTACATCTGTGGCATGTCGTCAAGGGACATGGCCTACAAGCTTTTGCTCACCCATTGCTAATGGAGTGCTCATTACCACCGTCATTAATGCAATGGGGTTCATGTTCGGCCTAAAGGTGCTCCAGAGCAGGTCTGTGGGCAGAAAGAGCAAAGAGCTAGCAGTTATGTGTATCTAATGCATTTGACACCAGCCCGAAACAGAACCCCCAAAATGTTGTCTACCCTAATCTTTGCATTTGTGTGTATTCTAGAGCTAGTGGATCTGTGTGATGAGCAAGGAGTGCTAAAACTGCTCCTCCTGTCTCAGCAACCCCAGGAGAACGCTAGTCGACTGTTCTCCCCACGCAAAACATTTATCCTCTGCACGATCAACTGTGAGTCCTACATGACTAGTACAGGCTTTGTGTGTGAAACTTAAATATATGTATTAAAATTAAGCAGTAAGCCTTAAGCAGTAATTAAGCAGTACGTGTCCTTGTTTTAACACAGTTATGGGGTCTTAGTCATGATGTGAAGCATTGAAAATACAAACTGATAAAATATGGTAAATTGTAACACGTGGTGTCACCAAAGAAGCAACACTGGTGAAATCATTACTGTACACACCAGTGGGGAACGCTCAGGGCCTTCTAGACCTAATGAATGCCTAATGATTTCTGGTAACTAAAAATACACCTGTAATTTTAGTTGTTTTTTTAATCAATATAACCATACTTATATTTAATCTCTGCAAGTATTACAGTACCACTGTTGTTTCATTGAGTGGGCGGCACAGTGGCACAGTGGGTAGCGCTGTTGCCTCACAGCGAGAATGGCCTGGGTTTGATTCCCAGCTGGGCGACCAGGGTTGTTTCTGTGTGGAGTTTGCATGTTCTCCCTGTGTCTGCGTTGGTTTCCTCCCACGGTCCAAAAACATGCAGTCAGGCTGATTGGACATGCTGAATTGCCCCTAGGTGTGAGTGTGTGTGAATGTGTATGTCTGCCCTGCGATGGACTGTCGACCTGTCCAGGGTGTATCCTGCCTTCCGCCCAATGACAGCTGGGATAGGCTCCAGCACCTCACCGTGACCCAGAAGGATAAGCGGTTTAGATGATGGATGGATGGATGGATGTTGTTTCACTGAGTGCGTTTACATACACTTAATAATCTGATAACTACAGAAAATCAGATTTTGTCAGTAATCCGATCAACACGGTTATATGCAGCTGAGTTGAGAAAGGGGCTTCAGTCCCTGGTCGGCGTCTGGCAGCAGGTGGCAACTTTGCTGTCCGGAAATAGCACATAGCATTAGCTGCTCATGCCGCTCAGTTAGTTGCCCTTGCCAGTGGCACCTGGCACACAGACCGGCGCATGCCTCTCAAAACAGGGACATACAAACAGCTCCTGTGAGTAAAGCAGTGACTCTGACAGACTAGCTACTCGGCTAGGCTAACTAGCAGCACATCATAGCACCACCATCGGCCATCAGCACCTGGGAAAAGTGACGGAGGAATGTCGACTTGAAGACTTTGTACAGATAGACTATCATTTTTTGGTTCCCTGGCTGTGCTGTCAATTCTAAGCGAAATGAACCACTTTAGCCAAAGGCTATATAGCAGTAATATTAGCTTGAATATAGACTCTTAGCGAGCTTTTGTTATGACAAAGAGAGTTAAGAAAAACAGCTTGTGTTAGAGACATACTCAAATGAATTACTGTATTATTTGTGATGTGTTATTCATGCTAAATCTAAACGCTGTAAAGACTATCATGGTCTTTATTAAACAACACATGAGAAATGCAGGCTTATAATTTGCATTATTATATTATATTATATTATATTATATTACATTATTAATTATTGTATAGTTAATCTCTCTACGTGGCTCTGGTTTGACTATCAGCGTAATGATGAAGTGACAGAGGAATCCGCCAATCACATTTTGATTTCCAATGGGCGGGACCAGTTTCGTGTAATCAGTGTCATTCTAGGCATTCTGGGAGTTCTAGATACATCACTGACTGTGAATAGACCACTGTAGTCGTGCGTCATTTTGTAGTTGGCGCCTTATTAGGAACTCCGGGTCTAAGCCCCATTTCTCTATGGCCAGAATGACTAAGGTTTTCGAAAAATTGCCTCTATCGCATCGTTTTGTCCTGTGAACATTCTTCTCTCGAATAACACTTGATCCTCTGAATTACGAGGTCGTTAAAGAGTTGAAATATGAATATTGCTACGTGTGAGCTAAAGCTACTGCGCACTGAATTCACATCATTAGACTGGCAGCCTCCTTAAGCAGGTTATCACCCCCTGATAAACTGATTTCGGTTATCAGAATATACCCCTTTTCTGGGGTGACAGGAGAAGTTTAAGAACTGTGTAAAACAGAGTGTTTCTGTAACAAAACCTGATTTTGAAATAAGGTGAAAATGCTCTTGCTTATAGCTTTGCTGGCACTCCTACTTAGAGGTTAAATGTTCTAACTGAAATGGTCTCAATCAGCGGTTCAATTTTATGTGTAAAATGTATGCTAAAAAATCAAGTGAGGTGAACTTTGTCAATGAAAACTTGACTTTGAAATTGTCCTACATCTGCAGCTCTCGGCTCTTTTAGTGGTAAATCTGAAAAGAAAAAGTTTACTTTGGGGCCTTTTTTGCCAAACAACTCCCTGCATGTACCTCTCCACCATGAACGAATTTGAAAAATTATGTTTCAGGCCAAAACTTCTCAAAAGGGTCATAAAATAATGTCTCAGGCATTATATTTGGAACCATTTCATGTATCAGCTTTATGTGAGAGTTTTCAGAGGTATTAAATGCTTTGAATGCCTGGTGCCTATCACCACCACAGTGAACTATTCTAACTTAGTAGGTTTTCTTAGAACAGAGCATTTCACATCAAACCACTTTGAATGACTGTTTACATCTTAACCATTTAATTGAAAAATCATTGGAATTCCCATTTAAACCAATGCACATGATATTGATACTCATTGATGCCCACTGCAGTTTATTATGTGTGGTCCTAGTATGTGTGTATTTTGCAGTCACTTAGAATGTGACTCAGCCAATCAGATTATGGAACTGGAACCATCTGTTTTATTATAGGAGGTACAACATGCTAGATGTAAGAAAGCATAAAGCAAAAAGTCAAGTGTCTTCTCTGTCCTGGTCTCGTCAGGTGCTTCAGATGGCGCTTATGTCTCCATTACCCCACATGTGAAAAGCCCTGGCCCTTCACTACAAGGTAATACAGTATGTTGAGGGGGTTTATATGCATTGAACTGAACCTTGAACCTTGTTTAAGTAAGGGTAAATATATTCTAATTTCTTTTAGTTGTTTTGTTTCACTGTTCACCTCACAAAAAGATGGTCCAGTGCACAATGTTTCACCACTTTGTGTGTGTGTGTGTGTGTGTGATCTAATAAAAATCTATCTAAATACATCTGTCTGTCCGTCTTTTAGAGGTGCTGCAAAATGAAACTGACAGTCTGGAGAAGACTCGTTTGAAGCAGCTCCGCGCCTTAGAGGAGCGTAAAATGTTAGGAGAAACTCGGAGCCAGCTCAGCCAACCTGTCAGTCCTCATATCCCACTGCACTCCATTTCTCCCATTTCTACATTGCATTCTTCTCTTTTGTTGGCCACATCTTATGCCATCTGGTCACATCTTATGCCATCCCAGACCTGTTTCAAAAAATCACTTCCATTACACATACTGTATCACTTGTAAAAATGAGAAAGACACAATGTTCTACCAAGTGAAATATATCGTCACTGTCCAAAAGAAAAGCTCAAAGTGGCTGCTTTACAAGAGTAGGTGAAAACATTGTTTACTTTTAATGTAAGTTTGTTCATTTTTGTTTGTCCATTTTTTACACAATGTTATCTCCAAATTCTGATCTGAAGTGACGTTAATTACAGTCAGTGTAATTCCACTGCCTGTCGAAAGGTTGGGGACCCCTTGTCTTCTTTTGAAAATGAAATGTTATTTTTCAGTAAGATCAGAAAAATATCTGCAAAGGTTTGGCGACATAAAACAGCTATTTGCTGAAAATTTGGGAATGTAATTTGCCACACTCAGCTTCATGTTCATCAAAGTGTCTTCCTAGGTATGAAGAGTAGGTTTTGCCTAAATAATGAGTTGACAGTTTTGTTTTCTAAACTATTGTTAAGCAAAAATTGAATGCCTCCAAGTGGAAAAGGAAAATTATAATGCTGTTTCGCTTAGTACTGTGATAAATATTTGAGCAAAACGCTATGGTGAAAAATAATATTGTTGTATTATTGTTTAGTATATTTTTTCCCTGCCCACTGATACATGGTGCCATAATTGAAAAAATCTAAAATATTTCAAATGAATACATTTTAAAGTAAGATTTGAAGAATTTTGTATTTTAAATGATATGATATGGTGAATATAAGCCAGGACATGAACATACAAGGTTAAATAGGTCTATTTTTATTTTAGGATGACTTTTGATGCAGTTGATCACATCAAATTTTGAAGATTTAAAGAATCTGGAATCTTCCAGATAAACTGCAAAAGAACACATGAATATACTGGATCTTTAACAGATATAAAAAATTGGAGAAGGATAACATATAAGACAGAAGTGAGAATACATTTTATATGTACATTAAATTCATGCAGTTTTAATAATACTGATCATACTGTTTTCATATTTGATAATACTAAATACTTGTTGATTATACTCCAAAGCCAAGTACTTACTCAAAATTCAGAACCTAAAATGTCCACGCCACCACTTAAAACAGTTTGAGTTCTTATTAGTACTGACATGCTTAATTGTCTTTTGAAAAGCTAGGTGTCCCCAAATATTTAACAGTGGCAGTATAAGATCTCTCAGTAGGATACAGTGTTAATGAATGAAAAAGAGTGCTGGACTTTGCATTTGGCTTCACAGGTTAAGGGGCGAGGACGAGTGTTACTTGGAGATGCTGCTGATGAAGAATCACACCGTCGAACGGGAAGCAAGAGGAACCGGAATTAACACCCCAGTACAGACACATATACATGTACATAACACCCCCCTGCACTCTCTTAGCTCTTAAATGTCAGTGGTTCTCACTCCCATACATTTTAGTACTTCCTCTGCCTAACACACTCAACTTTCAATATTGAGTTGAATCAGTTGCTTTAAGCTGTGGTTCCCATCCATGGTCCTGGAGTACCCCTGTCATGTGTATTTGCAAGTCTTCCCTGCTTAAACATGCCTGATCCAGCTAATCAGCTCATTAACAAGCCCTTTCTGAGTTGTGAGCATGTTAGAGCAGGGGAAACATTCAAATGTGTAGGGCAGAGTATTCAAGGACCAGGGTTGGGACCTTTGAAACACAAAGATGTTCTCTGCATAAGATTCCTAGTATTTGAGACAAGAACCACTGCTGTACATGTACTGTGTATGTTCATCATTTGGCAAGAATAGAATCAAAACTTTGCAGACCATGGACTATTGGATGTACACTTTATTGTGTTCTAGATCATTTTAATCTGAGTGAATTACAATACTGTGCAAAAGTCTAAGAAGATATATGTAATGCCATTTATCTGGGTAATACATATTTGTTTCATCAAAAAAAATCTAACATAAGAAATGGTTAGCTTAACCATTTCCAACACCTTATTTGGCTAATCATTACGTCACTCAATGAAATCAGGTGTGCTGGTGCTCTTGCGTATTCTTCTAAGCCACATATCACTCACTTTACACTTCAGTATAAAGAGCTGAGCACAACTGTGTTTAAATTGTGTTAGTGTTTATGTCCTGTATAACATAATATGTGGTAAACAGTAATGGGGCAGAATTAGTGATTCAGTGCCCTATGTAAAAGTTGGTAATGGGGCACCAGAATGCACATTTCTAAATTAGTTTAGCAAGTTTTCACTTGGCACATGAACTCATCTTAAATCTAGTTGATATATATAATATTTCTCATTTTGAAAATTTTAAAGAATATTATAACATTTCTAGTCATTTTCTAGAGATTTTTTACTGAGGTAATTTTATTAAGGGATATTATCTTGCTATGTTGTGAGATAGAATTTGGTACTGAATTATATAGAAGTAATGAGAGTACTTTTCCCAGAAAGTAATAAGTAACAACTTATCAAAATTACATTTTGTGAGAAGTAGCCTGTGATGGTTTACATATTTTGTGTAATTACCCCAACACTGGAATTATCTATACTAACATTAACATTAACACTAGCATTATGTACAGTCTGCTAAGCCTGTGCAGCACTCTTGTTCTCACTGAAAAAAATCAACGTAGCTAAATATAATATCAGTATTAATATTTTTTCAGTGTTTAGTGTGTTCAAACTTTGCCTTTATTAGCCTTTATGTTTTTCACAAAGCTTCAGTGAAGGCAAAGAAATCTGTAGGGATGTTTTACCACACCTTCAAAGTTCAGTCTTAGAAGTTGGTTGCAAAATTTCTGGTAATTTTTTATCTGTTTCTTTTTCTCAGTAATGGCTTCTTTACAGCTACACATGCTTTCAGACTCATAGTGTTGAGTTGTCTTCTCACAGTGGAAGGATGGACAGAAACACCTGTGGATTTGTTCAGATCTGAAGAGTGGTGCTTGATTTTCTGAAAGCTTTAAGGACTGTTTATCTGATGGGGACAGATTTGGTGGTCTGCCAGGTCTTGTGTGGTTGTTAAGAGTCCAATTGTCTCCTGTTTTTTTCGCTTATTTTTCTTTCACGTAAATAAATGAGGAGTTGTCTCTGACTTTTGCATAGTACTATATGTTGTAGTTTGATTACAGTGAAACTAATCTCTCTTTTGAAAAGAAATATTCTCAAAGAAATATTCCAGTAAAGGATCATTTATATTATATGCCTGCTTGTGCCTTCTTAAGAACACTCCTTCCGTCTGACTTTTCACCTTTGTTGGCACAGACTGTTTATCTGCGTCCTTTGTGCCGCTCTGTTTTGAAGCACCTCTGGAGTTGTTTGATGGTCCCTTGACATTTATTCACGGACGACGTCATCTCAGTCTGCTGTGATTGGTTAGTATGAATACCTGTTTGTTACCAAGCTTTGCTCAGCTTGGAGAAAATTGATGAAAACGCATTAGGCGGGTTTATATTTAGAAAAGTGTAGGCAAACGGGTGCAGCTGTTGTACCAACATTTAAGCTTGTTTTCCATTCGGTTTCAGACGCCCAGCCTGAACGGCTGAGAGCCTGAAAGTGGGAGTAAGTTCTGAAGAAAGCAACAGAATCTTTTCAGATAAAGGGCCTTCTGTCTGTTATCTGTCTCCCATCTCCTTTCTCACTCTGCTTAATGTGGTTCTAATTTATCGTAAGAGCTCCATCACAGGGCTGACTGCGCGAGCGTTATGCTGCTCTAGACATATTTTGCATCGTGCAGTATCACTCCGTGTGGGTGGAATGCAGCTGTGAAGCGGTGAGAGAAATGTCAGTTGGTGGTTTAATCTCTTGTGCTCGTGGTGTTCTCTCAGAACGGTTTCTGTCTAAACCTGGTAGTTTGACTTTGAAACTGTTTGAAAGCCTTGGAGTTTGAAATGTTAAAAGTTGAGAAAGTGTTAAGAAAGGAGTGACGTATGGAGACTGAGTGAGATAACAGCAGTAAGCTGAGCCAGCACTCCCGCTAGTATGAAGCCTGTGGCTGGTGGTTGGTCTGGGGTTAAAGTGTAGGTACTTCTTCTTTCTGTAGAAAGGAAATGAAAACTACAACCCAGAGATACTAAAGGGGAATTCCATCAAATTTTCAAAAATTGATCTACATAATTAAATCACTGAGATGTACAGTCATTTGGAGTGATTTAGTGTGAAATTGTTCGTTGTAGAGAAATGTAGCAACTCAGATTCCTTTGCAGTGGTGGTGATGGGAACCAGGGCTCACAATGTCTACAACAAGCCGTTTTATTTACAATCCAAAATGACCAGTGAATCTACACATTTTCTTTTATTTTGATGATAAAACAGAAGTACATTTCAAACAATATATATATATTTTTGGTACTATTTTGCCTTATAACACCCTGCATGTACCTCTCTTTCATGAATGGCTTTTGAAAAATATGTTTTGAGCTGAAACCTTTCTTCAAAACTATCACAAAACAGTGTCTCATTCATTAGGCAGTTAAAGCTGTTTAGAAGATACAAACCTGACCAAACGTCAGCTGAAGTAAGCAAGTTACTAGTAATGTAATTCATATCAATCATGTGAACAGTGTAAAATGGTTTTTCGCGACCATAAAGACTCCTATTAACGGGTTATGTGAAATTTGGGCAACCCTGGTCAAATTTCATGTTTTGTTGATTTTCTAAGTGAAAATAAGTACACATCCTCTACAGAGAACACATGGCAAGGGTGTCCAAACGTTTGCATAGGACTGTATGTGAAATGGTTTTGCTAAACCTGTTTACTTTTTTCATAAAAAGATTAAAGAAAAGACAAACCGCAGCTGATTATAACAGATATAACCTACATTTGTAGACCCAAAGACCAGCAGTATTCATGCTCAGTTGAGTCATCAGCAGCAGCAGTATATGAGAATGAGGAAGAAAGCACGTCCTGCTCTACTCTCAATTGTTTACTGAATGTTAGTACTGCCGGTCTATGGGAAGTAGCATGACGTCATCTCTGATTTCTGAAAAATGACCACTGTTACAGCATCCTGCCCTGAGCACAGAATACTCAACAGTGCCACTTTTCTGCCTTTTCTCAGTCAAAGTTGTGAGCACAAAAAGCGTGTTTAATGTATCCAAATTATCTGTGTCATTCATGCCATTAGTTTCCACTGACGGAAGTTGCCCCCTTGTGGTAGTGTTCATGAAATTTTGACCTAAAAAAGTCTCATGAACTGAGTTCATAGCAAAACACATTGACAGAATTAATAAGATTATTATAGAGGGTCTTGTGGTTTCCCTGTATTCCTACATAATTTGAGATGGATACAATTTGAATGGCAGCAATCAGGCATTTCAGTAACATGCAGACCACTCTACAGAATTAGTTCAAACTGCAGTCCCACAGTAAAAAAAAGGAAAAAGCTCATTAAAAATGATTCTGTTATGATCTGTTTAAACCCAAGGCATTTATAGAGATAGTAATAAGCTAAATATATACAAAATTATCATTTATACGGTAGGGGAGAGCAGGGCACAACCTAATACATTTTGTTTTTTGCTAAATAATTTAAGTTGGAATAATTATTTTCTTATACAAGCAAAATATACATCTCTACTACAAACAAACACATGAACTTTGTTTCTAACACCTACCGTTCATTTTCAATTCCACCCAAAATGACGGAAAGCGCAATGTCATAATTTACCCCATGGGTGGGATTAACTGTAACAGACAGAGGGTTAGTTGTAACACTTGCTAGTCTGATAAATTAGTGCCAACAAAGTTAATTCAATATAATTCTATGTACATATATATATATATATATATATATATATATATATATATATATATATATATATATATATAGGTACACACACACATACACACATACATCAAATTACATATGAAAACTGACATGACACACTGACATGTGTGTCAAACAATGACAAAATTACTTTTTGTCCAGTGAAGGACAGCAAATAAAAAACATCACATATCAATAAAATATGGAGCATTGTTTCTGAATAACTACAGCTTTACCAGCTGTTAATGTCAATTTCATTAATGTACTAAAAGCAAAATACTGACATCTGAAAGATACTAATAAAGTAGAAGAAGCTCCCTGTTTTCAGATGTTTTCTCTTTCTCATTTTAAAATCTGTGTAAACGTATGAACAAAAAAAACAAAATTTGCTTTATTTGTCTTTGTTTACTAAAGTTGCTTAGTTGTTATGCTGTGTAACAACTAACCCCATAGTACAGAAGCCGTACTTAAGCCCAGTTAACACTTGCTGTAAGCTTGTCTCATGCTTCAAAATGGTAGGCACCAAGATGTTGATTAAAATAATATAAGGTTGGATTCTGAGATTTGCACAAACAGCTCAGTAACCAAAAAAACTTGTGTTGAAAAAAAAATTACTTACGTGCCCCGAAAACACAGATCTCTTTAAAACACTGATGAATCGCTTTGAATTTTCACAGGAGACCGTGGCTAGGACATGTGGTAATGTGGCCAGAAGCTCACACTGCTTGACGTTGCAAAACAACATAAAAAGTCCAAGTTAAATTGTGCCCTGCGTTAAGTTGTTCCCCATGCTCCCCTAACTTCTATTGTGAGGTATCTGTCCCAAAGCTGAAACCCTAAATTTCAACTTATTTACAATGTTTTCGGTGTGTTTTTGTTAAAGATATTTTGGATTTCTTTTAAAGTGAAGACTTAAATTTATATATATATATATATATATATATATATATATATATATATATATATATATATATATATCATAAAAAAATGCTGCCTCATGTTTTCATATTACTACCAACACACAGAGTTTTTGTCCATATGCAGAGCCTTATTTTAGCCACGCCCCGACCTTTTAGAGCAGGAGTGAGATTGCATCCCTGTCCCTCATGGCCACATGGTGAGCAGTTAGATCCCACTGTTTTGAAGTAAATGTGTCCCAAAGTCTGAAAATCAAAAGTGTGCAACACTTGACACTTGTCACTAACTAATTGTCACTAAAGAAACATATATTTTCTGCAATTAAGTAATTTTTTTGTGTTTTAATAGATAGATTTTGTGTGTGTACAACTGTTCAAAGCTGTGTTTGCTAGTCAGGTACTGGCTAGCGTTTTTGAGTTATATTCAAAATGAGCAAAATAGTCACTACCGAAACATTTGGTAAAGTTTCAGTAGTGTGCTCTTTGTTATGTTAGTGGCAAAATGGAATGTTCAGTCACTTGTTGTAATAAAATAAATGTTATTAAGGCATAGAGTCATTCAAAGCAAAATAATTTTAGTCTAAAGTCCATTTAAAAAGTCAGTTAAAATGTGTTTTCAACTCTGACTTTGAACCATGTTGGTAGAATGACCCATATACAGTTAATATAAAATGGCCTGTGCAAAAGTTATGCCACATTTTAATTATTTTATATTTTATTTTGTCAAACTCAAACAAAGAAATAGAAGTGTGTGCAATACAATGTGCAGAAAAATGTCATATCTGAGTGTTTTCTCTGTAGAGGAAGTGTTTTTTTCTTTGTCCAGGGCTGTTCAAAGTTTTGCTTACGTCTGTAGGCCTTTCATTGTTAGGCCTTTCATATGCTAGTATGCTTAGTGGAGGAACTACTGGAAGAGTGGAAATAACTAATTCACCTTTAGGCCTTCAACAGTTTACAGTCAGTTCAGCAATGAAAGTGGGACAGTCACTCTGAGGCTGTAGCTCAGATCATCACGAGGCCTTCAACATCTGTATTACACCCCTTACATCACTTCTGCAATTTTATATCCATGACTCATAGGCTGTTATGATAATGTAATAACATACTCCAACCACTGGCCTATTTACAGCACCAACTTGGTTGAGATGTAGCAATAGTGAGCAAACAAACAAATTACATTCATTTTGCATTATTCAATGAAAGTAATTTTCATATGGGGGACCCATTCAGTTTATTTATTTATTTATTTATGTATTTATTTTGCACTGGGGCCCATGGGATCTTAATTACACCACTGGTAGCGCTGCAGAACTATAAATCTCCTATTCTGAGCTTCAGAGGGCTGTGCAGTTTCCTGTGGGTCATCTCTGATTGAAAGTCTCACTTTCTTTTTTGTCATTAGTCCAGCACTGTGCATGTGCCCCGAAGGAAATGATACTTAAAAAAGAGATCTCCTTAATATCTCTGTAGTTTCTCCTAGACAGCAATGACATGAGATGGAGAGACAAAGGAGACTTTCAAAGTTTTCCTGCTACTCAGATATTTCTTATGGGATACAAGAGCCCAGTAACTTAAATAAATAAATTCAGATTTGCCAAAACAATAATGCTCATCTTTTTTCTGTAACTGAACTCTCATCTCTCCTTCATCTCTCCTTTGTCTCATGTTTCATGATTGTCTAAAGCTATTTCTCCTAAGGAATTTTAAGAGAATTGCCAGTACATCCCCTGAGCCATCAAAGAGCAAATTCTGAGCAAAAATGTACCTCTGAGTGATAATGATATAAAGATTGAAAAAAAAAATACAATTGCGCTGAAGAAACCACAAACAAAACGTCCACCAATCCCTCAGTGGCAATGTGTAAAATTATAGAATATAAAAAATGAAGCCTAGAACTACATAGAACATGTTAGAGGGGAATTCCAACAATTTATCAAAATGTCTGCATAATTTAATGGTTACGATGTGAAATGCTCCATTCTAATAGAAACTTACCAAGTCAAAACTGTTCACAGTGGTGGTGATATGACTCTAAAAGCGACCTCCCACAAAGTTATTACATGAAGTGGTTACAAGTGTGCTGCCTGATGCCAGACACATTGCTTTCTGAAAGTTTTGAGATGAGATTTTGCCCTATAACTTATTTTACAATCTATTCTTGGTGGAGAAGTA